CACAAAAGTACAGAAAGCATGGGCAACATGACAGAAGTTTAACAATATTGTGTTCAAGGACTCTGTAATGATGATTTTGAAAAAGTGTATGAATTGTACTTACTTCTAACAATCTTCCAGTCTATTCCTGGATCATAACATTTACATACCCTTGATTTGAAATCCTGTCTTGCTTGTTCATCCACTGGCCTTCATCTTGATATTAAAAAGCATCCTCCTGCCTCTCACCCTCATTCCCAGTGCTTAGCCCTGCTGCTTTCCTTGAACACAAAAGGAAATTATTCCTGAGATGGATGACTAAGAGTCACAGAAGAGAGTGGGAATGCATGGCCAAAGACAATGACAGGGTGGGATCATCTCTTTCAACTTCACTGTGAAGTTTAGATCAGCCAGGGGCTACCATGAAGCTGCACCCAGAATTAAGAATAATCCTTCAGCACTTGAGAGATCCATCTACTAAAGTCTTTAAAAGTTGAGCTTTAGAGTTCAGTGCTCTATTAATAAAATACACTGCTCACAATGGCACAGCAGTCAGTCAGACTAGAGCACACTATGTTTGCCTCTGTATCTTAAAAGCCATCCCCCTCTCGTCTGGCTGAGAAACGCATGTTGATGATCCAGTTAATGAGAGAATTAAACTGTTTCAAATGAACACAGGCTAGTCTTGTTGATTTGCAAGCCTGCAATTTTACCTGTAATATACCCTAAAAATCAAAGACCAGAGCAGTTAAATAATTCAGGAATCATAATATATAGGTTCCTTCATGACATGTGCAAACATTTGTAAAAAATATGTTTATATGTCACATTCAGCAATTAAAGAAAAAAAAAATCCAACCTTTGCTAAAAATCAAAGACCAGAGCAGTTAAATAATTCAGGAATCATAATATATAGGTTCCTTCATGACATGTGCAAACATTTGTAAAAAATATGTTTATATGTCACAATTCAGCAATTAAAGAAAAAAAAATCCAACCTTTGATTGCAGGCTAGCTTCTAAAGTATTCGGTGGGGATAAATCTGCTAGCCACTTTACTAAGCCCCAATCTATTGTTATTTAGCCAGGCGTTTATAGCACAAATGGTATGCAAAATATCACAATGTATTATTAAGCTAGGAAGTGACTATTAAAAAAGTCGTGTTTTAACACCCTTACTCTTCCATAATTTATTATTTGTATTTGAATATGCTCATGAGTCTGCCAGTACTGTGGCACAACCTTATTTTGTCTTCCAGATATTTGACATTTATAATAATGTATAGGAAAGATACAAGCAAACTTTGTACAGAGTTCACTTTTCATGCTAAAAGCTAGACTTTTTCAACCAATAAAATGATAAAAGCCTGACAGTGGTCTAAAATATGGAGCCCACAGTAATTTAGAATAACTTTTCTGTGTAGCATTTTGCATTAATATTATGTCGAACAGTAAAGTGATACGATTTTCCTCTTATTCTGTATCCATTTTAATTCCAACTATGTCTTAATCATCACCTCAGGGAACAGCTACAGTTAAAATCAAATTATGTATGCATATAAAAGCTTGAGATGATCAGTTTTAAATTATATGATACATCAACTTCTAACCCTATTATTTCTTCAAATCCAGTTATTGTTCTTCTGTGAGCAACAAAGCAGAAGAAAAACTATTATTGATTTCTAAATCTATCAGTAGCGGTTTAAGACTGATAAAAGGAAGTCCTCTGTGCTTGCTCAGTATCCTTTGTGTATTCCTGGCACAAGTGAAGTAACTGGTAACATCTTTTTTTTTTTTTTTCTCTTCTTTTACTGGCACTATGCATTGGTATTGACATTTTCAGGAATTCCCAGGAATCCTAGTTATAGAAATCATAACCCAGGACTCCACTAACACTAGCCCTCACAAGCATAAGCAGACTCTTTTCTATGATGCAGTCTAAATTCAAGAAGAACATATGAAGACAGACATGACAGCACAAAAAAAGAAAGAGACATTGGTCAATATGATAAACATATGAACTTGTGTTAGTTACCCAGATGTCTAACTGTTCTGAAGAGGTTTTGCAGACATTATAATCCAAGATTATTTAAAAGGCAGGCTTGAAGGAATGACGAGTTGTTTTAAAGAATAAGGGGTCCTTCTACGTGCGAGGAGCAGCATAGAAAGAAACCAGGAGTTATATTTTTCTTTTCTAGTTTATCAGAGGATTTCAAGCTAAGCCTAGTATTTTTTCCATTCAAAAATGCTATTGTTCTTAAGGGGGTTTCAACACCACTGAAATGCAGACATCTCAGCAGACTTGTAATACCACACAAATTGCAAAACTGTGTAAGCAAGGAAGGCAATTTGACAAAGGATCACATGTTCAAAGAATGCATTGGAATCCATAACATCTAGCTAGAATAGACCTGTGGTCATAAAATCTGACTTTTTAAAAAATCCTAAACACATGGTTTCATAACTATTTATCTTGGAATGGAGAACACCGAACTGAGCTCATTATGATTCAAATGATTAATTTCACAGAATCTTAAAAATTTGCTGTCTGATATGTAGACAAACAATTCCTCTTCAAGCTTTTCTTAAATGTGGTTAGTACCCGTGCCTTCTGTGTCACAATTCAGAATCCTGGAGGCATATTTGGAGCACAGAGAGAATAAATGTTCCAGCAAATGTTCCAGTGAAGCAGTGAAGCAGCGAATGTTAGGGCCAATCTGGCATTAGTCCAGAAAGAGGGGAGAGAACACATCTACTATAACCAAATCCACCATTCTCTCACCATCAGTAAAAGGAACAAAAACTAATCCGCTATTTCACATAAGAAGCAAACAGCATTTTTAATGTAGGGAAAGGTTTTCTTTCTTAATGACAGTTGTTCTTCCTGTTAATATCTTAAGTAAAGAACTAAGTAAAGAATAGTGATTCTATTCTTAAAAGAAACTCTGTGCCGCAATTAAAGGTCACTATCCTCACCTCAGGAATATAAAGAACAGAGCAGTTAGGAAGGCTAAGAAAGATCCTGTTCCTCAAAAGCGCAGCAAGTAGGTAGTTGAGTTGGTCAGATAATATCAACAGCTTCTACCTAGTTCACTGTCATTTTAAGACATGACAGTTTCCATTTGGGGCTGCTCAAGGGCATGTTGTTGAAGCAGTGCCTGTTCCCTGTGATTATAACTGATCTCACCTGTCTCACTAGAGGCTCCTGTCTACCATGTCTGGTGTCCTCCTGTTGACTTCATGAAAGGTCTGCAAGCTGATTTTTACTCCCATGGTCTTGTTTCTCAGTCATGTACACTGGCCTGGTCGCAAGGGTTCTGCTAACTTACAGGACGTGTCTACGACAGCCTAGCACAACACCCAGGGAAGTGAGCAGGGGCCCAGCATGTTCTGCAGTTTCCCCATCCAAAAGGGTTTCACAAACCTCTTGTGCAATTATAGCCCTTTCAAGCTACTTCCTGCCAGGCTTACAGCATAGACGGCTAATCTAGAATAGTTTTGCCTGAAAGTGCCCCTGAAAAGAAACTGGTTCCCATTGAAGTTACTGCTGGTCAGCTACCTATCCACGGTTCCCCTTTCTGTGCAGAAGTTATCCCTCCATTGTGCCAGTACAGCTGTTTGCATGGTTGCATTCTCAGTCACACTTGTGAAATGATCTGGCATAAAATAAAATTACTTTCTTTTGTAGCTATTTTAAGAGTAGATCATTTCTCCAATGAGCCTCTCTCATTTAGAGAGGCTATACAAACAGTGCAATCAATTTAACTGAGAGGGCAATAATGTTTAATAGAGGAAAAGGAATATGAGTTGCTCCTAAATGAATCCCATGTTGCTGTATTAAGAAGGAAAGGAATAGATCTCTATTAGGAAGGTAAGGAATAGATCTCTCTAGAGAGAGAGGGAGGGACTGACCAATGACAGTAGGTTGAACAAGCTTAAGGAAGATCCCTGGAGAGCAGACTGCAAGAGCTGACCTTTAACTCTTCTCTTTGTTAACAAAACTGAGCTGAGCTTCACAGTCTTGAGGCTTTGTAAATGTTCTTTTGGGGCATGTACTTCCTAGTCTATGCTTTTTTGGCTTTCTGTACTTTAAGCCGAGAGAAAACTAAAACTCAAACTGAAGTCTACATAAAATGTGGCTGTTTCATTTATTGTGTGTCAAAATAGAGTGTTCAGCTAATTGCATACAATTCATACAATTGCAATATTTGCCAGGAATTGAAAGTTAAAATATAAATTAATTAATGTCAAATTTAAACTGGGCTCATGTTCTCTTGAAACTCGTGAAAAATACGAAATATTTCAGAGCACTGGGTACAGTTGTGTTTACATCATTATGTAAACACAGGAGTTTACTAATACATTTTTAACATCTTTGTGTTTTGAAATATTTATGGAAATTATTATGAAAATATTACCAAAAGATTCATCTATAATGCAGTCAAGGATTATTCCCTAAATTGTAGGTAAATTTGATGTTTGAACATACAAATAAATATGAAAGACCTAATTCTCATTTACTTCAAGACACAAAATCTTGTGTTATTGTTTCCTATCTGCCCTCAACTTTCATGTCTGCTCCCCTTCCTGTTCTGCACGCCCACTCTCTTCCATAGAGGTGGTCATCCCTTCATTTCCTGGCTAAGTGGACACAAATATTATTCTGATATTTTTGTAAATTAGACCTTTGAAGGAGAAAAATCTGAGCCCCAGTTCTATTTCTAATGAAGTATTCTGCTCCTATGGGACTAGCACATGTAGTCACATTCAGTGTCCCTGACATTCCTCTAGCAAAATAAAAAGGCTTTGAAAGGCAAACCAGTTATGTGGTTTTAATACAAGTTTGGGGATAAGCTGGAATCCAGACCTTAGAATGAAAAATTCACATCCTTATGTGCGAGTTGCCTACATGGTGAAAGCAGAGACTTACCAACACTAAGCTCTCCATTACGAAGTTTATTTGTAATACCAGTCACTATTCAGTCTTTCTGACTATACATATGTATTTTTTTTTTCTTTCAGGTCATGACAAACTGCTTCGTTTGTGGCATCCCGCTATTAATAGTAGGCCTACAGGGAAGCTATCAGGACACCGACATAGTGTTATGGAAATTGTAACAAATGAAAAAGATCAACATGTCATCAGCCTTTCCTCTGCAAAGGTAAAACACTTTTCTTAATTTCATGGAAATCAATGCTATAAATGCAAGTAGGAATCTGTTTTTAAGTACTTCTGGTAGTCTCTAGTCCTAATCTCATTGTTTATCAGTTCATTTATTTTAATAAAAAGGTGGACTTTTAGCTTAAAATTTCCAAATTATTTTAGATGGAGAAGCAGGACTAGAATGGAACTATTTGACATATTTTTTTTCTGAATGTGACAAAAGACTACTTACAATAGTAGATATTAACATTCTGGTAATTTCCGTATTACTTTGGCAACTGCCAGAATTCTAACATAACCGGTACCTGAATGCTTCACTCAGTAGTGATCACCTGCAAAAACTCCATACAGCTTCTTTTACCCTTCTCTCTGCCTGTCAGCCTACTAAATCCATAGGTGGAGTTTTTCTTACACTGGTGACTCTATATATCACGTTCAACTATTGACCTCTTTCTGAAGAGTGTCTTTCACAAGGCTTACTGATCCAAAACATTATCCCTGAACAGGAATACTAATACAACCAATAATAAAACTTCTTCAACCAAATATTGCAAGATTCTGCTGGAAATTGATGTTTCCTTTAAGTTATTGGTGGCATCAGTGGTTTATATCTCATTTGTCAAAATGAGACTGTTCAGGACAGAATAAAAACTTCTAAAAATATGTGCAAAAATAAATGAGAAGCCCCTGAAGGAGTAGTTATGAATGGCTATGGAGCTCTTCCCAGAGTCATCCTATGCAGTATTTTCAATACTCAGAAGTATTCAATATTTTCATTAACATCTGCAATGATGGAATAGAGAGCATACATACTAAATTAACCAGTCGCCCCAAACTGGTTAAGGCTGTAGGCCTTGGGCAGAAGTATTAGAGTTCAGAATGGTCACTAAAATTGAAGGCATGATCTGTGGAAAATACCTCCTATAAAGCAATAAGGACCTAATATAGTTAGTTTACTGAGATATCACAGAATCATAGAATAGTTTGGGTTGGAAGGGACATTTAAAGGTCATCTAGTCCAACCCCCCTGCCGTGGGCAGGGACTTCTTCAACTAGAGCAGGTTGCTCAGAGCCCTGTCCAACCTGACCTTGAAGGTTTCCAGGGAT